GTTATACATTAAACGCGCATGCGTAAAAATATTATGCGCATGCGTAAACGTTACGCATCGACAGAAAGTTTGTAGCTTTGAGGTCCGGATTATAGATCATTCCGAATTATGGACGTCCGGATTAAAGACTTTGTACTGTATCAAAGTTGCGATCTTAATATTAAACTTCCGAACGATTATTTCAGTCTACCATGATTAAATTCTGTGAAATGGACATGTTTTCACATCTGCCTTGAAACAACAGATGTAATAACAAATTAAAGCTTCGAAAAATAACTATAAATACCATAATATAAAATTTTATGAATCGAATAACCTAGTTAAGTAAAGCAATTTTATAATACAACATTATATTGCAATGTACACTGAGTATATGTTGACTGACCATCCTTTATACCATACACTGTTATTGGTCAAGAGTTAATTTATATTTTCGTTTAATAGAGATGCTTGCAATGATGTCATTATTTTAATGAAGTTAAATCAAGAGAATTTCGCTAATACTTGAAGCAGTGTGAAAAAATTATATGTACTGTTGAACTGTTGTCGACATGGGAACCAAAGAGGAGAGTGGATATCACTAATACTGGCTTTTGCGTCGTGGGCATGGATTAGAATCACTGTTCTTCCCATGAATAGCATAAATATGAGACATTATTTTTACAAATCCCCAGAAAAAACCTCTCCCTTAGTATAAATAGCGCTCAAGCGCTTTGAAGTAATGAATTACCTGCTTTGCTAAAACTATTCCAATTAGATCAGACTACTGCCCATTTATAGATTGTCCAGATTAGATTACACTAGAAAGGGCAATTTCATGGAATATTAAGTTAATCTCCTCATATGTAACGTTAACAGCGAGCTTGTTTAGGCTTGGTAGTCTCTATGAAGCCTTTTCTGTAATATATTAGATGTATATACCATCCTTTTACCGTAATCGATTACCTGCATCTTTCTGATGCCGTTGAATGTTTGTGCTATATTTAATACATTAATATATTATAGTAAATATATAAGTTGTCACACTTATTAGATTAAACATCGAAGACATAAACTTATTTCAAAAATAATAGTTTGCCTCTGCGTTTTTGGTAACGCAATAAACACTAATTCGAATATTGTAAACAATGATATATTGTGATAAAATGGAAATAAATTAGAGTAGAGATTCTAAATAGACGGATAATAGACATTGGAATTCTAATTGTTTATTAAGATGGGGAATTCTAATTGTTTATTAAGATTGGGAATTCTAATTGTTTATTAAGATGGAGAGATTTTGATGGATAAAGAAAGATACAACGAGTCTTCCTCGAAATGTCTTAATAACTAAACTAGATGACAATTACATGAATAAACGATGCGAAGCACAGATAAGACATATTTTTTCATTCACTGTTTATAAACATATCTTATATTTTTTGATGCAATATTCATGCTGAAGATGAGGTCATTGGGGCGAATTATTTAATCACTGGTCTTTCATAGGGTGGGCTTCATTCGCATTATTAATAAATATTTCAAAGAACATAATGCTAAACTTCTCCTTTACACTTAATGTTTGTCATCAAGAATGACTTTCTAATGAAAATTAACTCACGTATAAGTAACCAAAGAGTACAGTTTCAAAAACCCCTTTTGTATAGAATCTAGACAAAACTAGCAATGCATGTGTTTTTTGTCTCAATAACAATGATTGAAGAATGAATAAATTCACCCTGTGTCAACTATTAGACTACGAAAATTATAGTAACAAGTGTTCCTACGATTTGGAATAAATGAGGTATAACAATCGAAACATTCTCTGGGACATTCTCTGGGAAAGTTCCCTTAAGCCAAAGCATGGTATTGTTTTAAAGTTCTGTAAAGTAAAATGAACAACAAGTAAATCAACAGTAAAATGAACAACAGTAAAACTCTCAACAGTAAAATGAAGGAAAATATTTATTTAAATTCAGTTAATTTCTTATTACAATAGCAGATATTTTCTTTAATTTAACTAATTTTTTTCCTTTATGGTTGCAGCATTCTCTAAGGGCAATAAAAGCTTTCAACTTGCAGTTCGGATCTAACATCTAACAATTCTACAATTTTTCATACTGACTTCATTTCATATTGGCAAACTCATAAACCTCTTAACTGATGAATTTGACTACCTTTGTGTTTATTAAAATACCATACATGTACTGACAGACAATTTTAAGATTCATATGAAGCTAAAGAATCATTCCTACAATCAGCAGGCCAATTTTTATTCGACTAGTAAGTTGCCAGTCCGAAGGATAATCAGAAGAATAACCTGCTGTCTGTAAGACTGATTGCGTGATTTAGGTAATTCTTCAAAATGTAACTCATAACAATCTTAAAATGATCCACTCAGCTTTGCTGAATAATTTGGAGAAATTTATTCTAGATTAGACCAAATATGTTAAGTATTTGAGTTCTTTGCAAAATTATACTCAGGATTAAATACAGATTTTGAAAATCATTTTGAAATGTGATTCGGTTGCATATGTTGCTCGAGTTTTATTAAAAGAATATCAGCGATTATTTCCTGAATTAAAAAAAGGGTAAAAAAACTGTATTCTGTTTTAAATTTATTTTCGCTACACTTGTTTGGTTTATTTAATTACGGAAAAGCACACTAGGGCTATCTGCCTAAGGGAAGGGATGCCTTCGTGGAGGACTTTCTAAGGGAAACTGGCTCGTATACACGTTACACATGGGGAAAACCACGAAAACGCTCATGCATCCAGCCCGTTCGCAGGATTCGAACCTCGGACGAACTACCAGTGTTCAGCGACTTTACCGCTCGGACACTGGTGGAGCCGCTATACTTGTGAAAGAGAATATATGAAATTTCTGAATACACAACATCGTTTATTGTGCAGCAGTTTGTAAGAAATGTTCTCCTTCTCCACTATGTGCCTTCGTGGTGTAAATGGTAACACATCCGGTGACTTGTTGCAAGATCTGTAGTTCTAATCTAGAAGAGGACTGCGCTATTTATTCGTGTTTCTCGACTTTAAAAAATCATATAATTCTTTACACAGATGACACAATTTTACAGTGTTTTAAAGTTATGAAAAAGCCACTTCTGTCAAAGAATGTTATAAAAACAACGAAATTACTGTCGCAAACATTAAGAAGTGGGAAACTGAAAATTAAGCTTATTTGCGATTATTAAAACTGTGCGTGACCTGGAACTCAAAAGTGAATAACTAGTAATGTAAAGTAGATTAGCATACTCTAGTAACATGATTACCGGTACATTCCAAATTTTTTCGCGTACTTACACCTGGCACCAAAAAAAAGGAGGGAGCCAGTTCTATATCTTCCGTTCTACTGAGGTGATTGATGAAATTTAACTTGCCGTTTTCAGGCCGCAAAACGCGGCTTAGGATGTATATTTGCTCCCGAATCCATTTTGACTATTTTTAACGTGGCGTCTATACGTACGGAAAGAATAAAGGACTCTTTTTTTTTTAAACTTGCAAAATGGATAAAAACTGAGTTTTTTGTGTGACGTCTGTACATGTATATACATACGTATGTATCTCTCATAACTTAAAACATATTAGCTGTAGAATGCTGAAATTTTGCATTTGGGACTATTATATAACGTCTAGTAGTGTCCCCTTTTTATTTCATTCGGCAGTGTCAAATATATATAATATATACCCACCTCCCTTACCTGGCTTAACCTTTTAACTGCCATGCCCGAAATAATCTCGAGCACAGCACTGGTATTTCAAAATGTCACGCCCGAAAATTACTCGGGCTAATTTTTTTTTGAGTGCATCGTATTGTTATACCCGAATATACGTATATCGTCAGAAGTTTATTTCGGCTTCAGTTCAACAGATGGTAGCATTTGACTGAAGGTTTCAAAGGATAGAGGTTAAAGTTCAAAGTGCGCGGCAATTTTTTAAATTTTTTTACTTTGAGGCAAACATTTCATTTTTAAATTAAAAAAAATGACAATTTATGCACCCAAATCATCAAAATAACTTGACAGTTAAAAGGTTAAAAAAGTACTTACTGTGTCTTTATTTTCGCAATCATTTGTCGTAGTCATATACTTCCAATTACAGAAGTGTTTTAAATGACGAAAATATTCATATTTTGGCAGTGTCAAATTTAAAAAAAAAAAAAAATAATTTTGGACAAATACCGATCCCGCATGAGAAAAATTGACCATAGATATTTAATTTCAAAATTAGCAATTTTTGATGCCATTTCCAATTTACTTTGAGGGATTAGTTAATTAATTTAGAATAATTCGAAAAAAATAAGTTTAAATGAAGTGCAACAAAAATTACGTATAATTTAATGGAAGCAAAAAATGTGTGTAATTTAATAGAAGTATAAAATGTGTATGATTTAATCCGTATAAATTAACCATAGATATTTAATTGACCATAGATATTTAATTTCAATTTTTTAATTTAATATTTAATTTCAAATTTAAAAAAAAAATAATTTTGGACAAATACCGATCCCGCATGAGAAAAATTGACCATAGATATTTAATTTCAAAATTAGCAATTTTTGATGCCATTTCCAATTTACTTTGAGGGATTAGTTAATTAATTTAGAATAATTCGAAAAAATAAGTTTAAATGAAGTGCAACAAAAATTGCGTATAATTTAATGGAAGCAAAAAATGCGTATAATTTAATGGAAGCAAAAAATGCGTATAATTTAATAGAAGTATAAAATGTGTATGATTTAATCCGTATAAGGAAGTCATATGGTGTCCACTTCAGATTTTCATAAAATAAATTATCGTTTCTTTCGGCGAGACTAGCAGTAAAGTTTGCACATTCCAGTCCATGCGTAGCTATTTCTGTATCCAACAAATGTTTTCTAAATACATGATTAAGAGAGAGATATTCCACATAACTGTCAACAGTAAAATGAAGGAAAATATTTATTTAAATTCAGTTAATTTCTTATTACAGATAACGAGAAGTATGGCAATATATAACTTATTTTACCCTTGTTTGGGCACTTGGAGCCATCAAATCCACAAAAGGGGTCGTCCGGAGGAGGATCTTTTCGACCTCCAGCCCAATGGAATGTTTTTCCAAGTTCGTCGACGACTTGCTTTTCAGTGCCGATGTAATTTGCCACGACCTGAAAACATAATATTTTCTTAGTTAAGCGAGCCAAATTGAAAAATCACTACTATTCAGTTAAAAGAAGGCTAATTTATGTTTGCAACTTGCACAGAAAATCATTTTTGATAATACGATTGATATAGCAGAAAATCAAATGTAAACCATACGTGGTCAGATATTAAGCAATATACTGAAACCAGTAAATATTGAAAAAAATTATTGCCTTTATGGATACAGCGGGTAAAGCATTTGCATTTTTCATTTAATTTTTCGAAATACTAATGCATATTATTCTTGCAGTTTCCTAATTTACATTACTTTTATTTAAGAACTGACAATGCATAAATTTATAGTTAAGAATTAAAACATGCTGTTTCGGATTCCGCTTTCCTACAAGCCTGGTGTTTGGAATAATTTTTACGGTGAAATATATTTAAAAATACCACATATCGTCCTTTCCATGCCAAAGCTACGAATCTGTGTTTTTTCCGGATTTCACTTATATGCATTTTTCGTATTACTTTCACAGAATATTTTATCTGTGACAAAGATCTCATTATATTTTCTGTCTGAAAAGCAGGACATTTCATGATATTATATTATGATTAAATATTTAATGATACTTTTTCAAAACAAGAATCAAATATATTCTTGATTTTTGAATTGGAATTGAGATAAGAGTTTGATTTTATATTGGCTGAGATTCAGTTGTTAATTATTAAGATATTAATAAAAGAAATAATATAGAGAGATCTCTATGGAGAATTTGTTAATAAATTTTCTACTAAGATGAATATGATCTGCTCCGTATAATGTACAGGAATCTTTATTACAAAATTTACTTCGATGTTATATAGGTAATATTCTTCAAACGTTATAAAGCAATTCACAAGGGAATTGTATAACGCAGTTTCATTCAAATATGATAAAGTAATTAAATTTTAAAGGAGAGGGAAATATTTTAAATGAATTTCAGAAGCAATACATAATTAGCAATTTTTTTACATTTTTGATTTCATAGAAATCAGAAAAAAAATTGTTCATATAAAGAAGTTTTGAAGTATGTTTTAGCTTGTATATTTTGCTATAGCTTCCGTGCAAGGAAAAATCAGGCCTATTTTCTTATGAATTATTTCACAATTTTCATCATACCTGCATAAAACACTTGAATTTCATTGCAAAGTAACAGTGTTACCTTTAATTTATATATTAGTTCCATATATTATACTTCTCAAATGTATTGCGCAGTAATGCGACGATCAAGTGCTAAGTACTTTTCAAGCTCTTTTTCTTATGTTTTTAATAGAACATGTTTTTGACGAAGAACTTCCTTCTTGCTGATCTCTCATTGTATCATTTACTGTAGGATTAAATTTTTATTGAAAAAAAGTCTTTCTGTTTTTTTTTTTTTTTTTTCTGGAAAAAAAAGGTCTGTTGAATTCCCTGTAAGTTTTGCAGCACTAAGTGCCGAGTTTCTTCGACCTTTTATAGGATTCATAGGATAAATAGGGTAGGATTTCTTAGTGTTATCTTAGAATTTGTTCCAGACTACACTATAATTTAAAGAGTTCAACGCATTTCCATCGTTTTAATAATTTCACAAATAGTTAAACGCTTTAAATCAAAAATATTTATGATATTTTGAGTACGTGTACCATCTTTAAAATACATTTAAACTAAAAAAGTTTAACATTTTTTATAGAAAGCGTCTTGCTGTGCTCACTTCAGATGTAAAACTATTAATATATTTTTCTAAACAGTGAATAATTTCCAAGTTCTTATGACATATTTTCATTTTAAACAAACAAATTATGGCAAGAAATATCGTCTTCCAAACCATTTCAGCAAAATTTTGAAATGTCCGAATTATAATGGCAATTACTGATTAAAACCTTTAAAATAAATTATTTTATTTTTCGGAATATTTTGATGATATTTATTTTACAACCGGAAAACCTAAAAATAAAATAAAAAAAAAATAATACGTTAGAAATCTGAAGTCTGTATTATCAATATTTAGTACACTATTTACGCAACCGTCTGAAAACAAATGCGAGACATGGAAATTGCTCTGTGTGGTCAATAGATGACGCCACACAATCACAAATCTTAATACCTGTGGGAACATTCTTTGAAATTTTTCAAAAAAATTGTATTTTCCTACAAAAGTTTCTTCTCTTTTTCATTCAATTAACTGTTATCAATAAATGCAGTTAATTATATAGAAACTGTTCGCATGCTTCGGTTACAAAATATTGCCTTGATTTGCATTAATTTATAAAAAAATCGACTGAGTTTAATTAATTTTTATCTCAATCCTCAGCATCCAGAATGGGACGTCACATCATGATACATGTCTTACCAATCAATTTCATGAAATATTGCTAAGCTCAGAACGATTCTTTCCGGTGTTTAATGACTACTTTGTACATAAGCCCTAGGTCTAGTGGGTGCCAAACACCTGTTATTGCTCTTATATTGCAAAATCCACAATTATTTAATAAACATAAAACTACGCAAAGAAATCTATGCACCTTTATAATATATACATGGTCCCGAGAAAGGCATGATAAAAAATATGCATATATCCGAAATAAATGAGTACACCTTTATGTGGGAACCATTTGTAACTCGAGGCATGTCTAGGCGAAACGTTATCTCATTCCATGCTATCGAAAACATGCTGACGGGAGCAGTCCTATCTCATCGTATTGCCTTATATTTCATTATTTTTTTAAGCAATCTTTAGCTTTCACTCGCTAATTAGGCTGATTCAATATACTAGAAAACACACCGTCATTTACCAAAGTTTTGCCTTATCATTATAGAGTTTAGTGTTACAGTACACTTATACACATAATTACAAGTGAAAATGAAGCTTAATAGTTGCGACTGTGTAATTGCAAAATAAGATGGATAAATAAGATGTATTATAAATTCAGATTGCATATTTGATGTAATAAGTACTAGAGGTGAAGATGGTTTTACGAATTTGTCTTACATATAAATTAAAATGAACACTGAACATACAAATTTTGTCCATTTCTGAATAGAAACCACTTGGTCGATGGGTTCCAGGCCGGATAGCCTTTTATTTGACAGATTTGCAAGAGACAAAGCGACAAATTTTAAACTTAAAAAAATGACATAAATTAGCAGAGAAGTACTTGAAAACGCTAAGGCGTTTTTTTTTCGGGGGGGGGCATCGTTCATTTATTTTACCCAATTTGTTAAAGTATATTTTGAGACTATAGATTTTGATTTTGAAATAATGTAAAAGTACACAGTGGGCACAAATAAATATATCTTTTCTCTACGTAAAATAAATGCTTCCCAATTTCTTCTTTTTTTTAATAAACAATAAATTTAGATAGATAACCTCTATATTTTTCATAAAATGTTTTTAATAGCAGAATAAAAAAATATCTTCTTGAAAACAGTTTTTTTATCCAAAATTTGCTTTATTTGAAACAATTTTTATAACATTTTAATACTGAAATTATGTTTCTTTCAATGGTTCTAATGATGTAACTGTATTTTTCTGCGATTCACGGTTTTTTTTCCCTTTTACTTACGGATAATAATAATAATGATAATAATCAAACACGATGTAAAGAGACGATGTTCCAGCTCAAAAGAGACTATCTCCTAAAACGCATGCAGATGTTTGAAATTGAATGCCAGAAATCAAAATTTAAACTGAATTTTGTCTAGTTTTACGTTTAATATTTCTTTTACGTGTAAATGATATTTGTTAATATAATAATTAAATGCTTACTTCAAAAACTCCAGTAGCGGGATTAAGATCAAGTATAGAATAATCTGCATCTCTGTCGCCGTTTTCATCAATGGTCACTTTTCCAGTTATTCCTTTTAAAGATATAAGGAGAAATAAAAATTTTAATTTTATTAGCAAATTAATTTATTTAATTAGATTCTTATTAAACGTTTCTCCGTGCAACAGTCAGGAATATAGAGAAATATGTAATTTTAACTTAAACATTCAGCTACACTAAAATCCCTAAACACTCATGCTACTTACCGTCAAAAGTACGGTTCCACATTTTTTGTATGATATAGGATCCATTAGAGACAGCATATCCTTCTGCTAAAGTTTCATTAAGAGCCAAGGAGTATAACAGTACTGCTTCATGAAATGCTGTGACAAAGGTATTTACCTAATCAAAACACAGATGGCACCACCAGTTAGTAATACAGATTATGTCAACTAGAGCGCAATAAAATTTTCACTGTAAAGAATGCTCAAAATTAATGTTATAAACATTCAAAAATTAATATCTAAGATATAACTACTGCTTAATGTCTTTCCTAGTAATTAAAAAGTCAAAGCATCAATTCTTAACTTGGAGATTAAAGGGAACACGTGTTTGAGGTACATAGTAAAAATACCAAAGTCGATGTAATAACACAATAACTGACTTGGAAATTGCTGTTACTGATTTATTTCGGAGACAAATTTTTCAGTTTTACATTCTTTAGAAAATTAAAGATAAAAATATGCTAGTTTGAAATTTGAATTTATCAATATAAAACAGCCAGTGGTGAATTGATCAGGCATAAGCAAGTGAAACCATAGTATTGAAAATCAGGCAAAATATTTAGAATTTTATACATTTTTATTTAATTGTTTAAGACTTTTGTGCTTATTAGGTAGGAGTAATTATGTATACACATTTTGCCAGCTCACTTATACATATTCTTTATATTATTCGCTAGGCTGTAATATAACTGAAGTTTTATTTAACTATAGAAAGAGCACTTTTATATTATTTATTATACTATACTATACTATACTAGCACTATTAAACTGTACTATATCCAACCAATAGCTGGGCGCTAATGTCCCTGAACGCTAGTAGTAGGACCTGGGATCGAATCCCGGCGAACAGGTTGAATGCATGTTTGGGTTTCGTAGATTTTCCCATAAATAACGTGGGTACGGAACAGTTTCTTTTAAAAATAACTCCATTAAGGCATTCTTTTTCTATTAAAAAAATAAGCCTTGAGTTCCTTGCCTTAATCAATTAACCTAAGCTAACCTATATTATTTATATAGTAGTAGATGAATATGTTGGTGAGTTAGAGTATAAATTGTTCAAATGGTTAAATTTCTGTGCTTGAACATCTTTATTGTTCAATTTTTCTTTCTATACAAGCACAACACTTATTAAAAAATACATAAAAATCTCCAAATTTTAAAAATCTAATTGTTGGGATTAGCTTTAAATTAATTTATTTTTTAAACATAAAAATGTCCTACATGTTCCATTTAATGCAATTTTAAACCGAATTCTTAATTTTGAAATTTTATATTAAGGTCGTAAAAAAGTAATGAAAATCTAGAAAAGATAAAATGCGATTTTGAAATCATTTATAAACAAGGAAGTAAAAAGGCTATTTATCCAGCAATTTGTTTAAAAATCTGATCTTGAAACTGGTGGAATGATTACATAGTTTAATTGAATAATACATTTTCAATGCATTATAAGCTAAAAATGTGTAAAGCAATTTCTCCTTCCATCGATATTAAGTCAGTTTCTATTTTATATGATAAGACGACAACTTTAATACAGTTTTTAAGAAATTTTAAAAACATAGATTAACTTTATATCAATATAATTTGACGTTTTATGCTTCTGAATTTGGATTCGTTAAAATTATATAACATTGGTTTTTCCGAAATCATGAAGTCTGCAAGTCTCAAATTATTAGGGCTAAGGGAAATGTTAAAAAACGAAATTAAATTGTGAGTCAACTAATAATAGTTCAGTTACTCTTTGTACAGATAATTATATTTTGTTGCTTTTAGCTTCTGTTTCAAATACAGGATTAATTTAAATCGTTGACATTTCTAACAATGATTTTTTTGGGCTGCGAAATGCCACGTTTAAATAATTTACAAATTGTTGTGCAGCTACTAGCATTAGCAATTAATTTTATTTGTAGATTAAATAATGACTGATTTGTAAATACCATTAAAAATTTCTTTTTCAGGCACTGAATGATAAGAAGTCTCATATATTAGATAACATTTCTCAGTTGACATAAATAATTACATGAAGCGAAAAAGCTAGTTTACTCTATTCAGGGATATTTAAAGGCTTTTGAACAACAACTCTAATTAATTTTGAACACAACTCTAATTAGTATATTTTCATGAAATGAAATTATGAAATTCTAGTTAAAGTTGGAAAAAAAAAATTGCCAACATGCAGTAACAGCAACCAAAGTACAAATAGGAACTGAAGATATAGACATGACTTAGTTTTCCATTGCAAATCAGACAGAGTGTATAGTGTTACAGACAACATAATTTTATGTATAAATTAATGCATATAAATTTATCATTAGTTATATATATTAATTTAATTATATTATTAAAATTAAATGATGGTGAAAAAATTTTCAAATCAAATCTACTAATCATCTTTTTTAAATTCAAAAAAAATACTTCATTATCTTAGAGGCGTAGTATAATTATGTAATAGAGATTGAGTTGCATAACTTGATTCCCTGGATTACAGTAAAAAAGATGTAGTGTTTTTCATAAATATTTAAACGTACCAATGGATGTATAATTAAAAAATAAAAAAAATAATAATTAATAACTAGTCTTGATTCATTCTGTTAGGAAATTTTAAATAATGCGCAGAAAAGGAATGAGGATGGTATGTTAAGGAAAAGGAATGTCACTGAGGAGGGAATTTTTGTAGAAACAATTCTTGAAATGTTTTCTTGCACCAACAGATGGCAGCAGTAACCAAAAATTCAAGAGGCGTCGTGTTTCAACTCTCGTTTTGTCAACGTCAGGTAAAAAGTTTATTACACATAAAATTAATTAATCTTTAAATTTATTTTAATACGTTTTAAAATTTTATTATTGCATGGGATCATCGCTTAATGCTTTCAGCTTTTTATTTTAGACATAACTCCTCCTTTCATCGAAATAATTCATTTTCCGACCAATTAATTATTTAATATTAAATTCTTGCATTTTATTAAAATTTGATCGCAAAACCTTTATTGTGACTTTTTAAAATATTTACAATTACTTTTGAGTGTATTAATTTATTTATGAATAATGATTTCGGAATTTTTTATGACAAATTTTACTCTTTTTCTTAATCTATACTTTTATTATTAATATTCCATGACTCCCCTTTTTTAAAACTTTCAATCATTGATGTTAACTAAATGCTGAATGTTTTTTCGCTAATTTTTTCGAAATTGTTCAGATAAAATATTTTCTGTTTAAAAGTGGCTATAAATGTAAGAAAATAATTGTTGCTTCTGTCGAAATTTATCATTTCTTTTTACGATACTTTTGACAACCTATATATATATAATAAAAATAATGAAATGAATATAACATCTGTTAATAGTACAAATTTAGCCAAAAATTAGAAATTTCAATATGAAATCAACATTTATTTCAAATCAAGTATGCGATATATATATTATTTCCCTCCCTTTAAGAGAGAAAGATATTTCTTCGGAATATTTAATTTATACTTTTCCTTTTTGTAATTTACATTTTCTATCATTTTCATATCTCTTCTCCCTCACACAACAAAGCTATATTTCAATACTAGCGTTCGTTAATTTTTTGAATATATTGTAATGAAAAGGTATTTTGCTCTCTTTAGAAACATTTTATATTTCATAACAAGTAGTTACCTCCTCTTGTCCGTAATCAAACTGAAATTCTTTTTTAGCAATTTCTTTCACCTCCCGTGAGAAATTCTTGTATTCTTCAGTATCTGGAATCCTCGCCGTGACGGTGAGTAACGCTTCATAAGCAAGTCTAGCCCGACTGTTTCTCTCTTCTGTATCATTCACTTTCAGCCAGGGCTTTTCGCTCTCGACTTTGCTGAAATGGTTTATAAAGGCAGTCAGTATATGAAATGAAAAAATTAAATGATTAACAACTTGGAAGGTATACCTGCAATTTTCGTTTTAAAAATTTTCCCAGTTGTAAAAAATTAAAATTACGTTTATTTCCTGAGGAAAAAACAATTTGGTCATCTTTTAAGGATCAATTCTACACAATTATTAAGTCTCAAATGCTCAAAAGCAAAAGAGTTGCTTAAAATTTCTTTATAAGTTATAAAACGATGAAAACATTAATAATTATCTTCCAATACCCAGTTATATAAAATGGCTCCGTTTTTTTTAAAAAATATTAGCAGAAAAGAGCAGGTACCAGATTTACAACGAATTAAAAATCGAAATTTTTTATGAAATATATTTTTTCCTCTGTTTTTAAACTTGTTGTTAGCTTGCTATCAGATTTATTTTGTATGCAGAATAATAAACTAAGGGCTCAGATTAATATTAGCAAAACCCTGCCAAATATTATTAGTAAAACTTCTGTCAAAGATTCATTCTTCTCCCTTTCCGTCTTTCATTAATTTCAAACAATTTTATCTCGTAATATTTTTTTCTGCAATATTATGTTTAACAAACAAATTACAACGTATCTAATATTATGCATTCGGCTAAATTGATTTAAGTGAGCCTTAATACCTGCATATTTTCGAAAATATATGGTTCCTGATCAATTGTTCAGTTTAAAAAATTATATTGATTTGCCCTAAATTTAGACTGACATTTTTCTTATTCTTAGTTTAAAATTCATATAGGTGTTGTAAGATACGACGAAAAAAAGGAAGCAAAGAACAAGGAATAATTAAATTGTACTGATGCTATTTATCGGTAAACAAAAAATGCACAATATTTGCATGTTATGAAAACAAACAAGAAAATGTGATTTCTCGGATACAAATGAGTCTCAGAAGGTATGGTTTCCCATGATCGAAAACAATGTCGCACACATAAGAGGCACGGAATCAATGAGGGACTGGGATGCTCTCTCCCACTTCTGTAGAAGGAAGATTTTTAATTGCTAAATTGTTTCGGGGGACATAAATGACTAGCAGTCGTTCTCCCTAAAATGCCCCAAACATGCTCTATCTGGTTCTTATCTGGGAAACATTCTGACCAATCTATTCGAATGATTTCTCCTTGAAAAAGGAAATTTTCCACTAGCTAACCACGCTATCATCTGTTACAGGGAACTCATCTCGATTGATGCAGCATAAAAGACCACATTAGGTCTGAGGATCTCATCCCTATATGAGCTGTTAGTACCCCATTCCTGTTAATGTGTAGGTCTGTATATGACCATTGATAGATATTCCGATCTAGACCATCATTCCGCCTTCGCCAAATCGTTCACTTTCATGTACAAATTCAGGAGTATTCCACGTGCCAGCTTCTCTTCAGATGACATTCTGCCTGTTGTTAGGCTGTACACTAAAGCAGGACTCGTTCGTCAACAGCACGTTGCTCCAGTCATTTCGCCCGCATCTGAGATGCTCCTCGGCCCATGTTCTGCAGGCAGTAAGTTGGTCCTGGGTCAATGAAATACAAATTATAAGTTTGCAAGCAAATAAACTCACATGGTGCAGTCGTTTCAAACAGTTTGAGTAGAACCTCTGGTACCAATAGCCCTCTGAAGCTGCTGTTGCATGAAAGAGGAGTTAATATTATTATTTCTTCTGGCGGTTAGTGTGAAATTTCAATCCTCATTTTGTGTTGTTGCAGGCGTATGATCTTATCCCGATCTTTTCCAGTTTCCAAAACCCGATTCCATAGCCTTTGAGAACCTAAACGCTTGGAATGGATTGTGTTTGACTCACCTCTAAGTAACCGATGGCCCTCCAGGCTACCGATTCAGCTACGTCATCTTGCTCAGAGATCGTTATTTACTGTTACAAAGCATTTAACGCCTGTCAATTGTTTTTAATCCCCTCCTACAGATGGAATGCTGCAGGTCGCTTTTCATTCCTTATTCAAAAGGCGTAGATTTCGATGCCACAGACTAAATGTGCATATTCTCAACTTTGTAAATGTTATAATTTTCCTTTTTAACCTCTTCTACATCATTTTTTGTTAAAATGGTTGTCAGTTACACGATTATTTCTTACCATACTCATAAACTCCTCTAGCAGTGTATATATCACCAGAAGTGATATCAGAATAAAACTTGCGATCACAATAAAACATGACACCAGAAAGATTTGACTTATACATTTTGTAAACAACATCACCTTGATATTTAAAACAAAAAAAATTAAATGGTATATTATCCAAAAACATTAATTATCGATAGTATAACGTACATATTGCGTTTACTGTTAAATATTCCAATTTTATAATGAAAGGGATGTAGGAGCTTCTACCTTCTGTTAAATATTAATCTGTTAAATAAACGATTTCACAGTCACATATCACTGTTATGTGAAAAGGCAAAGTATGAAAGCCATTTGCATCACATAAAAAAGGTATGAAAACCATCCATTTTGGAATGATGCACTTGAAAAAGATTAAGTACTTTTTATGGAGAAGAAATCACAATAAGTTTTTTTCCCCTTTTCTAAATTTATACAATGAAAGGCAATGAACTATAACAGGAAAAATCACTTGAGGAATTTATATACCCTCAAAGTATATGAGGAATCCTTGAGGAACACCCTCAAAGATTAAATTTAATAAGAGAACACAATTTGCATCAGTTAAGTGACATGATGCTTCTAAGCAAAATTTTAAAGCGTAATTTAACGCAAAACACTTCGAAAAGAAAAAAAGAATAATTGAGATATTTTAAAAGAAATTTTAAATGTTCTTGGAAAGTCATAAATTATTCAATTAATCAAAATTCTCAGAAACATTGAAAATTAAAGAAATAAACCCAAAGGTATTTTCATATTTGAAAACTATTGGCATATACTATTATAAAACACTTGATCAAAATGAAAGAACACATTTTTATACTTTTCCGTTGAAATCTTACGGAATATCTAAATTTTAAGATACATATAGAATTTCATTTATTTCTGTGGTTTATTTTTTCACTGTGAATATGTATGTATTGAAATAAAATGCTCTACGATTAAATATGCAGACACCCTAGCAGCTGAGAATTCAAAATAATCATTATTTTCCTCTTTCTTGTAGCCATCTACAACCTTTATAAACATGTCATAAAACATCGTATGTATATGGGTCAGCTTTTGGCATTTACGCAGTTGCCAGCTCTGGATTTACCCATGGGAATAACATGTAGAGAATGCGCCATGTATTTTCTCTTCTACTTCTCCAAGGGCCCAAGGCACTCCATCTTAAAAGAAGTCAGTTCAGGAAACGATGCAACTACCATGTCTGGCTCGTCTAGTGGTCAAAGGAGATGGTTTCCTAATTCTGATGCATTCGTGAATAATGCATCGAGAAGGGAGAAAAGAACTCGATTTAACGCGGCCGAAGTCCTTAAGGTATTCATTCTGTCTTGGGAAAAGTTATGGGACAGCAGAGAGTTTTAGTCTCGAAAGTTTCTTCTTCCAGAAAATTTTCAATTAATATCCAAGACACGATCTTTCCAATCCAGTAGAGACGAAATCTTAGGAAACCATGCTGGAAGTATCACTTGCAGAGAATAAATATGAATATTTGTTCTCTCTCATAATTTTTATTACTATAAGAGAACGTGTATTGATATTTGTCTTGCTGCTATCTGACAGTATTTAAAGTGGAAAAGTGTAATAGCTTAGTGACTAAAAATTCAGAACATTTATTTGCTAGTGAAGTGCTTACGATTTAGTGCGATAGCAACTAAAATATTTCAAAGGAGAGAAATTTTTCTATCAAAATTTTATTTTAAGTAAGAGGACATATTAAACGCTATAGCACCAAACTATTGTAGATGAAATAAATAATCCAGAACGTTTTTTTGCAATATGAAGAATAGAAAATAGGGATATGGGTTGATTAAGTATATTTGTCTATTTAGAGTAAAGTTTTCACTCAGTTTAAAAGTTACATCTAAAGGCATTTTTTCTAATAATTATTAGAAATATTTCAAATGTAATTCTTGTATTAAACAAGCGATCTATCTATTTAATGCACAAGCACATCCCAAAAATGTAAAGCAGTGATTTTTAGAAAATATTAAAATATCTTTACACGCGCTATGTTGATATGCTTTGCATTTGCACTAATTTTACTAATGTTATACTATTAAGGTTTTAATGTAACAGATTATTTGGGATGAATGCAATGCTCGCTGTCGGTAAAGTTTTCTCAAAATCTAATGAGTTCTAAAACATTTTGCAATATGCATACTAAAAAGTTTAGTTTTCATTTTGTAAATTGGTAAAATAAGTGCAATTATAATTATTAATAACAACAACAACCACCAAAAAAAAAGAAAAAAAAAAGAAAGAAAGAAAAAAAAATAAAATCGTTCACAAATAAAGTTTTTACTGTGTAGATATTAACGCTATTTGAAATAACTATAACTGTAACTTACGTACTCAAATCACAGGGCTGAGAATCGCAGCAAAAGGAGTTGCCAATTCCTTCTTTATCTGTGAGGAAACAAATTTGTGTATTGCAGATAATTCAAACAAAATGGTTATGCTTTGGTTATGTCACGTCTTCATGCTGCTACGTTATAAGTGCAGGCGAGAACTGTGTACTATAACAGGATGCCACAGCAAGATGATGATGATTCAATGCAAATTATAACAATTTAGGGTAATATGTGACTGTTTTTCTTCTCCCTTTTTGTTCACTTACTCTTCTTCCCTTTTTGGAAATTTGGTGTGACTGAGAAAGAATAGATAATTTAGATAATAGTTGTAATTTTAAAGTGATTTCTTACATCATATACAGTTGCATTTTTATTGCCATCATCAGAATATTATCTTGAAAATTAGACGCTTTAATTTCCTTCAGTTTTTAACTTGAAGTTGTATGTTGTATTCTTCAATATTGGATAATCATCTTATTCTTTCGTGCGATAATATATCT